CCCGGGTCTGGTGGTGACCAGCGGACCGGGGAGAGGGGGAGCAAGGCCTCTGAGGACGCCGGCAGCGGGACAGCCGCGGGGCGCGTCTTGGCTTTCCCGCTGCCTGTGTGCTCCGCAGCTTTGCTCCCCTTCTCCCTGGTTTGCTGGTCCCCAACAGACCAGGGAGGCGCGGAGCAAAGACGCGGAGCAAAGACGCGAGCAGCGGGACAGCCCAGACGCGCCGTGGCTGTCCCGCTGCCGGCGTCCTCAGAGGCTTTGCTCCCCATCTCCCTGGTCTGCTGGAGACAGACGCGGAGCAAACCCCGTTCGTAACTGCGGATCCGACATAAGTCGGATCCACGTAACTCGGGGACTGCCTGTACTAAGTCAAACACAAAAAGTTTCTGCATTGTCTTTATTTCTGAGAAGGGTAGGGAACCTGTTTTGAGTCAGGGGTCACTGACCCATAAAAAAAAGTCAGTTGGGGCCACACAAAAGTGAGATTTAAAAAAATAAAATAAATAAATCCTCCAACCCTCCCGCCCCCCCCAAAACTTCACTAATGTGGCCCAACTATGTTGGTGGGAGCAGGGGGCATAGTACTGGGGAAGGGTGCTAGTGGGTGATTTGGAAGGGGACAGAGTGCCAGTGAGGACAGAGTTCTGTGGCTGAGGACAGAGTTCTCCGGCTGGGGAGTGGGCGCCAGGAGGGCAGGGGAGTCCCCTGCACCCGTTGCCCTCCTCCCCCCCGGGGCCGACCCCCCTCCTTCCGTGGCACAGGGAAACCCCTGCACGTTCCTCCTCCGGGGACGACTTACCTCTCCTGTGGCGCGGGGAAGCCGTCACACTCCTCCTCTGGGGCTAACGCCCCCTTCCGCAGCGCGCTCAGCATGCCACAGTCCTGAGGGAAGGGAGCAGCCAGCATATTTCCGGAACCGCCGAAGTGGCACGAAGCTGCAGGATTTCCGTCTACTGGCACTACCTCCATTGTCGCTGGTAGGTAGTGGGACTTTTTGGAGATCGGGGGAAAATGGGGAGGCCCAAACGCTTCACGCTCGACTGGTTGAGGCCTCATGATTGACCAGTTGGTGACCATGGCTTTAATCTATCTGGATACTCATTAATGGATCTTTAAGTAACCGTTTTGTTTCAGGCAAATTCCACGAGCCAAATACACAGAGAAGGATCGGAACTTAACTTCATTTACAAATTTAATTCTTATGCAAATAGTATGAACAAGAACATCAGCTGGCTTGCATGTTACCTTCCACATCCTATGACTTAACCTACCAACAAAACAATGGAGGTGATAATGGTTCTTATCAACTCTAGTAACTATTTAGTCTTTAAGATGCTACTAGACTACTTCTTGTTTAAGTTTTTCCTGTACCAGATGAACTTGTCTACCCCTCTGAAGCTTATCTAGTCACTGTCTCTTTCTTCTTCGGTCCTCTTCCCCCCCCCCCTTTTTTTCCCCCTTCCTTTTCTTTCTCCTCCCCCTCCTCTTCCCTTAGAAGTCCAGATGCAAGAATTAATAACACTCCTGTCATCTGAAGAAGTGGGCTGTGCCCACAAAAGCTCATACCACCATCTACATCAGGGCTACTCAACTTTGGAAGCCCTGGGGACCACAATGATACCCATAGCACATGTCAAGGGACACAACTTAAGTGTGATTGCATATACAGGCAGTCCCCGACTTACGCGGATCCGACTTATGTCAGATCCGCAGTTACGAACGGGGCTCCTGCTGCTCGTGTACTCCGGGGCTTTCTCCGCGTCTCCCTGGTCTGCCTCCCTGCCTCATCTCTCCCCCCCCCGCAGCTTTGCAAAGCCTCGGGGAAGCCGGCAGCGGAGCAGCCCAGGTGTGCCTGGGCTGCCTCACTGCCCGAGCCCGAGCCCCCCCATGGCTTTGCTCCGCGTCTTCCTGGTCTGCAGACCAGGGAGACGTGGAGAAAGCCCCGGAGTACACGGGCGGCAGGACCGCGAGGTCCCGCAGTCCGTGTCCTCTGGGGGAGCCCCGTTCGTAACTGCGGATCCGACATAAGTCAGATCCGCGTAAATCGGGGACTGCCTGTACATCTGTCTAGTTAAAATAGTTGGATACATATACTCTGTCATACTTTGAAAAGCCAGACTTGCTTTCCCTTACATGTGGAAAATTTGCTCCAGTATTTTTATATCTACTGTTGAATTTCAACAATAAATCAGGGTTTGTTTTATAGGTGAAAATTGTACTTGTAGAAGGGACTTCAGGCCTCTTGAAAAATTTACTTTGTGTGTGTGTGAATGCATCGGTACATAAACCCAAACACATGTAGAGGTGAATTTTTCAAAAGAGCATTACATCCAGCTGCCCTTTATATAGGTGACA